TTAATTGGACAGCTTTCCTATTATATGTGTGACAACTTTTTAGGTAGTAAATTTATATATAATATATATATATATATTTTTTACAATAAATATATATTTTGTGTATACAAAAACAAAAAATTGACTGAAAATTTTCCTTTTAAAAACACTTGACAAAAAGAATACTAATAAAGGGAATTGGTGTATATCTAAAAAAAAATTATATATCTCATATAAAATCGTTCATTCCCAAAATCTGCTACAATGAAAAATATATTTAAGTATTAATATAAATATATTTAGATATTAATATAAATTTATATTTTGTAATTGTTGGTTCTAATAAATATGATAAAATAAAAAAAATCCTCACAAATGAGAATTCCAAAATTGACGCCATGTAAATTTAAATATTACTATAAAATTGTTTTTACTTTGTGTACTATGTAACATATATGCTAATCCAAATCAATGATTCTAATAAATCTGTTAGAATAAAAAAAGTTTTTGATAAATAAGAGTTTCAAAATCGGCTACATATAATTATTTACATAATCTTTGCCTATAAAACCACTATCAACGTAATTAAAGAAACCCAAGAATTTACTAAAACAAACACAAACCGAAAATCGATTTATATGAAAATTATGCAATTAATGATTTATTTTCTATTTAGATTATTTTATATTATTTTCATCTATAGTAGGTAATTAATGTTTTGGGCGGGAAATGCTCATAAAATTTTTGGATATAAAAAAATCATATGTTATTAAAAACCTAATTGTAAACAACATTATTAGTTTGATTATTGGGCACACTACAATAAAATGATAAATTCCAATGGAAATTTATTCCAAAAGAAATTATTTCAACGACGATTCCAACGGATATTACAATACTATTATTTCCGTTGAAAATTTTCAATGAATTCGAACGGAAATTCCAACAAAAATATTCCGTTAGAATGAATTTTTCATTGAAATTTCCGTTGGATTTTGACAATTCCAACGGTGGATTTTTCAACGGGGTGCAAATAAAAATTCCAACGGAATTTGCATATTCCAACGGTAAAAAAACCATTGGAAATATAGCAGTTGAAATCATCAAATTTCTAAGAGTGACACTCACTCTTGTTTATCGTCATGACAATATAAATGAATGTTTATTTAAAAAACTTAATCTTTGAAATGTAGTGATCGTGTGTTATTTTTTAATTTCGTGATCGATGGACTCTTTTATTAATTAGTTGGTTTGAATCAATATATAACAAATTTTGTTGCCAATCGTTATTAGAGTTTTTAAATTAATTTGTGTAAATGCAGAAATAAAAAGAGACCTAAACTAAGAAATTTTGTTAATCTTTTGAAATCAAATAAATGACAAACACTATCTTTTAAAATAAATAATGATAATGATTATAACATTGTATTATCAAAGCTGATAAGGTATATAAAATTCGTTTTCCTTTTCAAATCGATAATGAAGAAAAAAGTCTAATTGGTGAAAAGATGATATATACAAATCATAATTTTAGCAATCTGATATATACAATTGTTAGCATGTGGTTTAAATAATTTAATAATATAATAATAGACTGAATTAATTATGATTCAGATTCATGCAAAGAAAATTTTGAACATATTTCTAAAATAATGATATATACAAATCATGATTTTCTTTGGAGATTTATTCGGATTTCCAAATTATTTGGAAATCACGATTTCTAAAATCATGATTTATTCGGATTTACATTCGGATTTCTAAATTGTTTGGAAAAATGAGAGATTTATTCAGATTTTGATTCCTTATTGGTTATCAATATAAAAGTATTTGATGTTATTCATAAAAAAAGGAAAAAAGCTGATTTACTATTTTTAGGAGATAATTAATGAAAGAGGCGGGAAATTGTTTCTAAATTTGATTTATGTTAATCCTTATTATATAAGATTAACATATATGTTAACATATAAGTAACATATATGTTACTTTCACGTAAATACTAATATATATATATATATATATATATATTATTTCTAACAATTATTAGAAATATGATTGATTCTTAAAAAAGAATCTTTAATTGACAATTATTAATTAAATATTTTATATTGTATTTAAAAAAATATTAAAAATACGTATGGTAAGTCTATTTCTTATATTTATTTTGATTTTGATTCTATATTTTGATTGTATTTCTAAAAAAAAAAGTTGAATAAAAAAGATATGCTAATAAATAGAGATTTTGTTAATTTACTATTTTTAGGCAATAATTAATGAAATTGGCGAAAAAGTATTTCTAAAAATAAATTATGTTAATCCTTATTATATATTAATAGATTTGAAATGATGTTCACGTACATTATTAAAATTTAGAATGATTTGACATTAATTATCAAACTAAAGAAAGAATATATTTGTTAATATCTCTTTATTTTAGTATAGTAAATGGGCTCAGTTATGTATTTTTTTCCATAGGTTGCGATATTAATACATAAGCTTAGCCATTTCAAAATCTTTTAGATTAAAAATAAATGTAATGAAAAACTATTCTGCAGATAATTAAGTCTTAAACCAAGAACATTCGGAGGTGTATCGCATCAAATTAACAGACCACAGACTCTTCAACACAAAGGAAGCCTTGTTAAAGTATCAAACTTGCAAATAAGAGGAAATAAAATCTGGATATTCAAGTTTCATTAACAGACATCAAAACATTCATACTTCCCAAACAAAATCATGGGAAGAGCACATTAACAGGCACATTACTTCGGATCAAAACACTTTCACACCATTGATGTCAAAATTTAAAGATTTATGCCAATAATTACCTTTTGCAGATGTCAGACTTTGAAATCGGGGGACTAATTTGATAGCGGACAACAGACGATAATTACCTCAGATCAATCGTTGCCGAGGGAGATGAAGCTGGAGTGCAGTTTCTGTTCTTCGGGCTAGGGCAGTTTTAGATTTCGGTTCGCGATAGTGTGAGATGATTAATGGGAAAACTGATATATGGTTTGGTTGTAATTTGTGTTATATGGAAGGTCAAAACAGTCCGAAAATTATAAAAATGAGGGTAATTTCGACTTTAGATTCTTGGGATTGGATTAATCTCATGTAATTGGAGGGATTCAATTATCCTGAATTCATGGGATAATTCATTTTTTTATCCCGGGCTGACCTAATCTCGCGGGCCTTAATACAGTGAACCAAACGTAGGATTAGAGCAGAATTAGGCGGGATATCCTGCCTTATCCTGTAAAGCAAACATGCACTTTGGAAAACAATTTTTTTTTTTTTTTAAATATAATTTTTGGCATAAGATAGGCCTTGATTTTCGAAAAAAAAAAATGATTTACAATTTAAACATCATCGTTAATCAAAATTTCAAAAAATAAAGATACAAAGAATTAACTAACTAAAATTTAACACATATCCTTAAAGCAATATTTTTTAAAATAAATTTTTGGCATAAAATTTGGCCTTGATTTTTGGAAATATTTAGATTTATAATTTAAATATCTTCACTACTCTGAAAATTCAAAAAAGAAAGATATTGAAAATGAATCGACAAATAAAATTATTACATTTGGAGAAGTGTGAAGATCATGAACATATGGTGTATTTGATTTATTGCATTTTCGAATTCATTGATTGTACTAAAATTATTATTTAATATGGAATGTTGCGGATTTTAATTGTAATAGACATGATGATATAAATTAAGGAAGATTTTTATATATATTGATATGTTTCTATACTAAATTAAAATTACCTTAAAATAAAACAATAAAATTTGAAATTCGAAATTAAAGTTTTAGGCGGGATTTTAATTGCTATTTCAGGTAAATATAGATATAGATATAGATAGATTAATACGGTTTAATCGGTTTGGAATCATCTGATTTTCCTATTTACTTCTATGTTTGAGGCATCCATTTTTTTTATTTTATATATGTGCGTGTATATATTGGATTATGTATCCTTATATGATGATTAATGTTCGGTCTATTTTTAAAACAAATACGTGTACTAATCATTTTTAAAATAGAATACTGATTGATTCTCATTGTCCTATTTACTTGGCATGTTTTTTTTTTTTTTATCCCATTTTCTAATCAATTTACAAAAAAAAAAATATATGTCCTTTTATGATTCCTCTTAGGGGTTTTAAAAATGGCAAATACGTGTGCTAATCATGTTATGGAATATCTAATGTGATTTTTGGTGTAATATAGGAAGATTTTTGGTGCAATATCAAAATTAAGGAAAATTTTTATTTATATTGAAATTAATAGAGAAATATGTTTTTATAATAAATTAAAATTACCTTAAAATAAAACAATAAAATTTGAAATTTAAAGTTTTATTGGAGGGATTTTTCAAAAAAAATTACCAAGATTAGTAACTTTTAGAATTTTAGGCGGGATTTTAACTGCTATTTCAGATAAATATCAAACCTTTTTATATGTGTATAGATATAGATATAGATGTGTGATAATCTAAATTATAGCACTTGGTAATTATGGAAATATAAAAAATATCTAAATAATCGAATAGATACTATGTAACTCATTATATAGGTTAAAAAATTGAACTAACCCAAGAGCATTTAGATGAGATGGCTTGGGTCTCTTCCAGCTTAACCAGTGGTCTCGTGTTCGAGCCCTGGGAATGCAGCAGTGTTAAAACTCTTGAGGGAGAGCTTTGCCGCCCTTGTGGTCCTACCCGGCTCGATTCTGGATTAGTCGGTTATCCTGTGGATCCGGAAACCGGAAGATCCCTGTACCAAAAAAAAAAATGAACTAAAAAAATAAATAAAAATAAAAAAAGTATTTAACCTTTAAAAAAATGTGTTGAATAAGGATTAAAGTTACTAAAACTAAAATTTATCTATCAAAGTTATTAACATTTAATGCCTTAATAATTGTAGCGGAAGCTAAATATTACGGGCTAAATGTTGGTCAATTATCAAGCAATGCATAAATTAATAATTTGTATTCTTAGAATGACTCAAACCTATGATTGGACCACGAGGTGGACAGGTAGGATTGTTGGACTGTGAATTGGATTTGCAGAAAAGTAAATTTTGTCTTTTGATTTTAACTTTTAATTACTGTTGTAAAGAAGTAGTAAAATAATATTTTTTTAATTTAATTGAAATCTATTTTTATTTTTTACTTTTGTTCCAAAGCAATAAGACTGGGTATAAAATTTATTAACTTTTATATAATGTTAAAACAATGTGATATAAAGAGTATGATTAACTCTGACACAACAAATAAATAATCAAATAATAATATATAGTTATAAATATTTGAGAAACAAACAATATATTCTATAAATAAAGATGTAATGACAATTAATTTTTTAGTTTAAAAATAATATATTTTTTAATTGGTGTCTGAATTTTTTTTTTTTCTTACATCAAATTACACCCAAATTAATTTTATTTCCATCCATTTTCTTATTATTTTTTTACTTAAATTGTATTTGAATAAAGAATATTTTCCCATAAATGAGGTTGAATTAAATTTTCTTACGTTCTATAATTCTATAATTCTATTCTATACTCAAATCTCAATTTCGTGCGAGAACAAAACTTTGATGTAGCCCAACTTTTAAATAGGCCCATCCCAATCGTGGGCTTCCCATTTGGTTACCCTTTAGTGTTGTTATCCATAAATCACAAAACTTACTAGCAATATTTTCGGCCCAATTCTTATTCGGCATTTTTATAATGTCACAAAATAACAATAATTATAATAGTAATGTCACACAAAATGCATGCCCACAGTCGTTCGTGCAGTACTTTACTCAGAGGAGAGGGCATCCCCTAATTTTTTTCACTCCCCCTTTTTCACATTTCATTCCAATTTTTCAAGATTTTCGTCCCGCTCTGCACTTCAAAAATTTCGGTCTTCAAAAAAATTTCTTCAAAAATCGACTTGGCCTTCACCTCACGAGTAGAAATCTTCAAATACTTTTTTTTTTTTTTTTCAAAACTTCATCTTCCGGGCAGAAATCGAACACCTCAGGAGCAGAAATCGATCGGGCCTTCACCTCACGAGCAGAAATCGACCGGGCCTTCACTCTTGACGACCGATTCTGAGCAAATCTTCGACCGGGCCTTCACTCTTGACGACGGAACACGACCTCGCCGGAATTTGGTTTGATTTTTATTTGTTTGAATTAGGGTTTTTTGAAAGAGATTTTATGTGAATTTCGTTAGCCCTGATTATTGCCTTGTTGTTGAAGCTGTTATGCGAAAATTTGATGATTTATGCATATTAAATTCAGTTTTAAGGCCCTGAAGAGATTTTTATGAGCATTATTTTGTACCACTCTTGCTGAGCCTTACGAGATTATTATCATGATGAAAGAGAAGTGTTTTTAGAGCTTTAATCTCAGTTTATAAGACCCTTAGCATGTATGTATGTGTTTTCGAAAAAGAAATAACTGAGGTTATTTGGCCTTATGTTAGGTGTTATGTTATGACTTTGCTGTGGCCTTTTTAGCATGTTTATATGGGTGAAAAGTGACTAAGTTTCAGAGGTTTAACCTCAGTTCATATGGCTCTTTATGTATGCTATGAGAATGAGAAATAAAAGAGGAAAAGAGGCATTATGCTGAATGTTGTCTTGTGAGTTGTTGTGCATTTAAGTGCCTTTTTTGTTGCTGTTATATGTGTATTTTTTAACCTTGTTTCAGCTGTTAAGTGATCTTTATGTGTTGATTGATTTGAGCTTAAATTCAGTAAAAAAAAAGGTTTGAAGAGCATGCTTAAATTTCAAGTGATTGATAGAGGTTTGTTATTATGAGAATGAGAAAAAAAAGGTTTAAAGAGCATGCTTAAAAAAAAAGGTTTAAAGAGCATGCTTAAAAAAGAAAAGGTTTAAAGAGCTCAAAAACATCACTGTAGTTAGCAGGTTATCCAAATCTGGATTGTGTACTTGAACAGGGTTAGGAACAGTCATCCAAAAAATTTCCTCGATGTCTTCTAGCTCCTGTTCATGAATCATTTTGAATAGGGTAGGGCCTGTAATCAGTTTGCACTCTGCTGCAAAGGTAAGAGCCTGCAGTTGAACCCTATTCTTTCCCCTGGTGATTGTAATGGTCATCTTGTTATAGTCCAACTCAATTGGTGTGCATGCCTTCAACCAATCCCCACCCAAAATAAGGTCATACCCTTCATGTTGTAATACCCTTCATGCTGTCATTTTGAATCCCGCAAGCCCTAATTGCACCATCTTCCAAAGACTGTACCTTTCCATCTTCAATCGCCATTAATCCTTGTGTTCCCTTCAATCCATCGCCCATTTCAGCTTGATTCACAACAGAATACGCCCGGCCTTCCTACGATGCCTCTCCCTGCGGTGATTCAAAGGGCCGTTCGTGGAGTTCTCTCGTACTTTCACAGAGAATGGGAGCTTCAAACACACCTCGACATTATCAATGGTGGTCAGCTCACACCAGAAGTGCGCCATCATCTGCAGCAGGTATAAGCTCTAAGCTCTGCTCGGATTCGTTCTTCTTATTATCGTTTCTTCTTATTTTATGAGTTTCCAACTTATATTCATGCGTTTCCTCGTGATTTCGCAAGTTGATAGAACATATTGAAGGAAAATAAAAAGAAAAACTGCGAATTACGATATGTTGATTAATCGATCCATGTCTGGGTTTATTGACATGTAGATTGGTGATTGTTCCAAGACTCTGCACTTATCTTGTTCTTGTTCGCTTGATAATGTAGATTGATGGTTTATATTGTTCTTGTTCCAAGACTATGCACTTACTGACGTCTATTCATGGATTTGTTTTTTCTTTTGTTTCTTTTTTTCCAAACTGATTTTGCTCGTAAATCGGTGGATACAGGTTTACGGCAATGTGTGCTCGATACTTCTCTGTTTAGGACTGGGCTTTGACATGAGCCTGGGCTTTCACATGAGCCTTAACTGGTTCATTGGTTCTGGATTTTTAGAGTTGGTGCGCATTGCACGATTTGCTGGACGGGCTCCTTTCAGACAGGTTACTTTCATGATATTATATGCAAATATATGGTATACTATTGTCTTTGCTTTATTTTACATTTTTCTTTGAACAACCAGGTGATGAAGTTTGGTCTGGTGATGGCTGGTATAGTGGTCGGAGTGGCCATTGTAGCTCCTTGGGTTAGCATGTTCTTGGCCATAGAACTATGGTAATAGTTTTTATTTTTTATTTTACTTTTACACGATTAGTATAGTCTACGACTTGCTGCTTATTGCTTTTGATTTTGTAAGATAAAACCATATATAGGCGTGTGTGCAGAAAAAATTTCTAATATGTGAATTTGAGTCGTTCGACATTTTTCCTTTAAATGTAATGCGTTTGTTATGTGGAGTTCTATGAAGTTTGCGTTGAGTCTTGATTATATGTGTTATAATGAGATATATGGTGTTCATATGATGTAATGGAGTTGCTTATAACATAGAGATTCATTGAGGAAGTTTTCTTGAGATTTGCACGATTAATCACAATTTTACTGTCTCTGTTGTGCCTCTGTTGTGACTATCAAGAACTCGTTTCGTGAAAATGTGTTCTTCATATGAATTGTAGTTTATCATGTTATCTTTTAGTGGTTTTGGAATTTTGAAAATCCGATTTAAATTGAGTGAGATATGATTTTTACAAAATGATTGTGCAAGAAAAGTTTTCTGTAAACTCGGCAGCATGTATATATTAAATGTTCGACATGTTTTCAATGTCTGTATGTGCTCAAACTGAAAAGTGGTCTTCATGAAAGTTGTAGCGTTACTTATTAGCTGTCTGTTGGTTTTTGAATCATTCCAAATGGAGGTCATTTGGAGGTCTGTAGCATGATTTATATAATTTATATGATAATTATTGAAGCTCTGTATGTATAATATTTCAGTTTTCTGACTGCAACTCGGTTATAAATGTTTGTTGAATTATCCCATGGTAAATGACCTTATCTGTTATCGATGTCTTTGTAGCTGCATGTCTTAGGAATAATTTGCAACTGGAATCTCATTTATATGACATGTGTGCTGCAAGTTATGTTCATTTTAAAAATCGCGCATCGGGTTAAGTTTTGAAAAACTTATGTTGTGCTTTCGAAAATAGAATTTACTATTTAAATGCATGCTTATATGACTTACATGAGCTGAGTTGAACTGAGTGAATGTTGTTGTATGTATATTCATGTGTCGGATAGTTATTTATGGGGCAAATTCTTTCGACATTTTCCTTCTAACTGTAATGCAGATTTGGGATGTTTTCAAATCATGGCAAATTTATCATTCACTAACTGCTTGTCTTGCTCTTACCAGTTGGGCCTTGTATGCACTGAGTTGGGCTACATTTCGGGTGCTTGGCTCATCGGAGACAACACAGATTTACCTCTTCAGATTTTGTAAATTGCTGCTCTCTCACCCTCTGTTGGTTGTGTGTGCGTTTGTTCTTACTTTCGGCTCGCAGCTTGAGGTAAATCATGTATTTAGATTTGTTTTCTTGACACGATTCTTTTTGAATGCCTTAGGAATTGTTGTTTGAGCTTGGACCTTCAGTAATTCTGTTCAATTGCAAATTAATCAATTATGGGAAATCTAT